GAAGTGACAACACATTTATTATGTTCATTATGTGAATAGATAAAAGTTTTAATGTGGTTTTTGATACGTAAATTTTTTCAAAACCGTAATTTTTGGAAGTTGAATTAAAAAAAATGTTAATTAAATGAAAAATACTCAATGTTTAAAAGTATAAAAACTGCATTAACACTATTAAAGAACAGATCTTAAGTATTTATGCTACACAAATATTCCCATTGCATTAAAGAGACCATTTTGAAGAAAATTATTTAGTAAACATGAGGGTTATGAGGGGGCCCTGAAACATTTTCTCCACTGTAAGGGGTCCCTGAACCCAAAAAGTTTGGGAAACCCTGGTTTAAACACACCACGACCTGATCACCTAACTGTGCCAAGTTGACATTATAGGAAAAATCTGATTCAAGGAAAGTTTACATAAAATTATGTATAAAAACAATTTGGGCTGTTTTAGACAAAATAATAAAGCATTGAAAACAAGTTGATAAGCTCGGACTGTCAACAATTTATGACACTGGTGGACTTGAGAGCCGCAGAAATATAAAATAAATGAGATTTCATTTTACTTCGTCGTCAGTAATACTGTGACTGATAAAAAAAATTACAAGTATGTATGTTGCTCTTCAACTGCATTGAACTTGTATACGTGCTGCACGCTAAGGTACCGGTATCTGTAAAAGACAAAATAATCAGCAAACCTGGATACTGCTCGTTAACCCCAGAAACACTTCTCCTCTTCTCCATTTGTTGCTTTGGTTACCATTCTGAGACCAAACCGCACGAGTGGAGTTTTTGTGCCTTAGCAGCACCTACAGACGTGAGTAAAACATCGAACTTTATTACTCAGTTCTGATGAGATACAGCGCAGAATTTTCGACTGAGCACAACTTCTTACCTGAAGCGTTCCAACTGTGAATCCACTCATGTGGTACCAGAAGACCAGGGTGCAGTGTGGCCCAGTGAAAGGGATGACGGGTGTTTGAAGGTCAGAAATTTGACCGTAGCCACCATTTGAACTGTCTGCACACATATACCACCCCTCAGGGCTGTTTCTGTTGGTGGAACAACAAAAAACAAGGAGTTAATTCATGATCATTTCTATTAAAGATTTTATGAAGTGGGGATTTGTGGAGTTACTATCAGCACTCAGTATCGTACCTGCAGTATATATTAGTTAGAATGAAATCAGTTTAAAACATCAGCAAGAAATGTTCATGGAGGAATCAAGCTAACCAGAACAGATTTCAGCTTCTAAGACCAGTCAAATGTTAAAGCAGTTTGCACAAACACTGTTTTGCTCACTTTTATCTTGCTGTTTCCTGCTTAAAGTAGTTAAGATGTTTTGTTTCCAGTAGAATATATACATTAGTTTTTAGTAATAAAATAAAATAAAATAAGGAGGAGGAATTAGAATTTGATATAAAAGGTGACATGGCATAAAAGTTTATGAAATATCTCACTTTGTCAGTGACTAATTTTTAACTTGCCTCCTATGTGAGACCTTTTTTAATCCAAACTGAGATCTCAAACTGCTGTCTACTGCAGGTGAGATACTGACCGCCAAGACAAAAAAAAAAAAACCACAGTTTTAAATATAATTTAAAAACACCTGTTGCAACTCGGCGCAGTTATGGTTTACAATGTTAACTATCAAAACAAGTTAACTACCAAGAAAATAAAAGTCAAACAACGATGGCGAATTGTATTTGACAAAACTCTCAGCTAAAAAAAAAATTGCACAACCTTGAGTAACAAACTAAAGTAGGATGAAAATTAAACGTTTTAACGTTTAATGTTTCCATTTGAACAAACAATTTATTAAAAAAAGCAAAACTTTGTCCATGGGATGTCCATTATGGGAGTCAAGAGAGACCAGCCAGTCTCACATGTGTTACTGCACAGCTGGGTCAGCAAATCTCCAACCTGCAACTGCACAGTGTCACTCAAAACTAATGACCTCAGGCCAAAAGTTCTCTTTAAATTCAACACTTCATGATCTGAGAGGCAGCTAGTTGCTTGTAAATGGGCCAAGATCTTCTTGTTTACAGTTCTATATATTAGGGAATTAAATATACATATCATAAATAATAATATAGGGTATGTAAATATATATATATACGGGTAAGTATTATTGTACTTGGGATTTGTGTGGTTTCAAGTTGCTAAAAGTACACATATACAAATTCATTAGTGAAAGGAAAAAATATTTGCAGTACCAGCAGTGTTAAGACAAATGGGCTAAAATGCATCTGTGTAAAATGACAAGAAAGACCTGATCTGCAAAAACCTGTTGTTATTTGTATGCTTCTAAGAATCATATACTGTATAATAACAATAAATAATAATAATATATAATAATGTACCAAACTATTTTATATTATTAGTGTTTAGCGTATATCTTAGATCTTTATATAATTTTTTTTTATATATACTTTATATTTTTGCTATTTTGGGGTGTAACTGAGACCTTGTGTACACATTTTCATTCCACCTCATGTACCACACGTGACGTGAATGACAATAAAGAACCTTGAACCTTGAATCAATGTTAAAAAGAGGAGTATTGGTGACAGGGTGCCATTTAAAACCTTGGGGAAATTATGTAATAACCACTACAGGACGTTGTTCATCTTCAATGTTTTGATCATTTTATTTAACTATATAATAATTATATGTACTCTTAATGACTTCAGTAAAATCATAATAAAACTGTTAATTGTCTCTGGGTCTATGCCAATCCATTAAATCAACTTTAGATACTTCAATAGATGAACTTATCTACTCTCACAACCCCCATAAAATGTTTTAGTTCTTTACTCTAATATTCTAATATTCTGTAATATGTTTATTTCATTGTTTTTTAGCAGGAACTGCAGTTGAGGTGAAGATGAGTTTCAGATAGAGGTAAAAAAAAAAGATGAAGTCTAGAGTTCAGCAAAGAGCAGAAATTGCTTAGAATTACTGTAAATTACTCATTTAATAAAGTGAACACTGCCTTTGTTTGCTCTCATCAGTCACAATAAAAAGTTGATAAGGGCAACAATGTCACTGTGTAGCGACTGCAGATTTGAGTATGTGTGTGTGTGGTGGTGGTGGTGGGGGGGGGGTTCATAACCACTGTAATTTGCAGTAATTTATTTCTCTATAATTATCTTTGCCTTTAAGGGAACAAAATGTTAAAAGTATATTGACATGAAAGCTTTGTATTTCAGAATCAGAATCAGAATCAGAATGCCTTTATTGTCATTATACGCAGTACAATGAAATTAAGAGCCACTCCTTTTTCCAGTGCAAAAACACGCCTTAAGAAAACACACATTAAACACACACTAAAAATATAAAAAATGTAACGCAATATAGATATAATAATGAAAGTTAAAAAATACAAGTATTACACAATTGTATTGCACATTATGGATATTAGTGAGGTAGTTAAGGTGACTGAGAGTATGGAATGTCAGTAGTATTGCACAGTAGAAGTCCAGGGGTTTGGGAGGTTAGATGATTAAATCAGTGCATGTGTGAGTTCAGTGTGGTGATGGCTTTCGGGAAAAAACTGTTCTTGAACCTGTTTGTTCTTGTTCTGATGCACCTGTAGCGTTTCCCTGAAGGTAACAAGTCAAACTGTTCAAAACCCGGGTGTGAACAGTCCATGATTATGTTTTCTGCTCTGTTGAGGCAGCGTGATGTGTAAATGTCCATCAGGGAGGGGAGAGGGCAGCCAATTATCTTTTGTGCTGTCTTGACTACTCTCTGAAGCCTCTCCCTGTCAGCCAGGGTGCAGCTGCCGTACCATACTGAGATACAGTATGTCAGCAGGCTCTCGATGGACGAGTGGTAGAAGGTCAGCAGCAGTTTTGTGTTCAAGTTGGGCTTCTTAAGGACTCTTAAGAAGTGTAGGCTCTGCTGAGCCTTCTTGATGACCGCTGTGGTGTTCTCTTTCCAGTTTAGGTCAGCAGAGATATGGACACCAAGAAATCTGAAAGTGTGAACCCTCTCCACGCACTCGCCATTGATGTAAAGGGGGGCTAGGTTGGTGCTGTGCTTCCTGAAATCAATAATCACCTCCTTGGTTTTTTTGATATTCAGAGCCAGATTTTTCTCTGAGCACCAGGTTGCTAGCTCCAGGACCTCCTGTCTGTAAAATGTCTCATCTCCCCTTGAGATTAGTCCGACCACTGTGGTGTCATCAGTGAACTTGACGATGAGGTTGTTGTTGTGGGCCGGGATGCAGTCATGGGTGTAGAGACAGTACAGCAGGGGGCTCAGCACACAGCCCTGTGGGGAGCCAGTGCTCAGCGTACGAGTGGAGGAGAGGTGGGGACCAAGTCTTACAGATTGGGGCCGATTGGTTAGGAAGTCTTTTATCCAGGCACATGTGAGTGGGGGGAGACCGAGATTGTCCAATGTGTTTATAAGAATCTTCCTTTCTGTTAGTTTAGCTTCTATTTTTAGTATATTAGTTATATTTAATTCATTATATGGCTGAAAAAATAAAGTTAACTTCTTTAAAAAGTAATTATAACAATAAAATGATTTTGTTCATAACCACATACACATTTACATGGTTGAGGTTGAAACGGTTCACAATGTGAGTGTCTGCACTCACAAGGTGTGATCATTTTTAGGACGGTGGTTCTGCTCTCCATCGTGAATAGTTTCTCCCTGGTCGGCCGCCCAGTGGAAGGCATGGTTCGGGACTAAAGAAAGGTTGAAGACTGTCCAACCGCATGTATCGCCTCCTTCAAAATCACATCTTTCCTTTACTAAACGAGGAAGACAAACAAAAGAGCAGAGCGGAGGAGAAGAATGATGAATAACTGTAAGATGGTTTGGTGAAAGTATAAGTAAGTTTTACCGCAGTTTGATTCATCTGATCCATCAGAGCAGTCATGTTTGAAGTCACACACTTGGCTGAGGTCAACGCACTCCCTGTATGCTCCACACACAAACTCCCCTTCAGGACAGCTGTGGGGCAGAGCAGTGGGGGCTGGGGTGGTCATTGCTGGGGTGATCAGTGTGGGAAGTTCGCCTGGAAAACAACAAATAAAGTAAATAAGCAAGAGAGAAATTTGCACACACACAAAAAAGAAGTTTGTCTTGTGTGTATCGGTGCGTAACATTTACCATCTATTGCCTCACAGTCCAGAAAAGAAAGGTCGTCAACAGCGACGTCGCCTTTAAAATCATCTCCAACTGTGCCTTCAATTAAAATCTGGCAACAAGAAAAGGGACAAAAAAACAACGAACAGTTACAAACCAATCTTATCCATTTTGAATTAAATGATTAGTGTGTTCTTAAACATTTCTATGACATGTTTGTATAATTTAAAAGTGGATTTGATTAATAATTATTATTAGTTTGCTAGACTTGTCACTTGGGTTAAACGCAATAAACGGCACAGATGTGTCTCTGTTGTGCCTTCCATATTACCGGTAGATATGAAATGCAAGAATAACATAGTGATCGTACACTCTAATTAGGCTTATCTACAACAAATGCAACACATTTATCTTTCATTTAATAAAATTTAAATAGAAGAGTTCAATCAGCTGGAATTATTATATTAGAATGAGTCCTTATTTAGTAATATACACATTTAATTTGTTGACTAAACTAAATGTCTGAGCTACACCTGAAACTAGTTTATTTTCTCATTTTTTTGCAAACATCTAAGCCAGGGGTGCCCAGACTTTTTCAGCATGCGAGCTACTTTTAAATGGCCAGGTCAAAGTGATCTACCTACTATAAGGTCCCATTTACACGAGAACAACCTCTGGAAACTTTAGTGGGTTTTTATTATGTTTATTGGGGGTATTAAACAAAAAATGAGCGGGTTTACACAAAAAAACACAGTACTGCAGTTTCCATGTCAGTCAGGTTGCCAGATAAGAAATTATGAACTATAGTACTGTGACTTTAAAATGGAAGTATTTTGACCTAAATTGTTATATGTGATGAGTAAAGATATTCTAAGATGATGTGTGTGTCGTGTTTGTTGAACGTGCACAGAAACGGAGGGGGTAAATAAGACATTTTAACTTTATCTGGCAACCCTGATGGGCTCAGCTGCATTGTGCATGCAGTGTCTGCATGTCAGCTGTTCTGAATGCAACACCTTTTGTAACACAACAAATCTCGGCTCAAATTCAGATATTATGTGGATGTTTTTTCTTTTTTATTTCTTAAAAGTGTAATCTTTTCACTTGACTTCTCTTACAGGAGTGTTTATTTGAATTAAATTAATTAGTGTCCGTCTCTTTTTAACGTTTTCATGTCTGCACTTAGTTAAGCTACAAATCCCTTTTAGTGGTACGGAGGAAGAAAAGTCAACTGCCTGTCAGGTTTAACCTTCTTATAAATGATACCAACAGAACATCCATCTTGCTCAATGATCGGCGATGAGCAGTGAAGCAATTAAAACAAATCTTCATCATGCAACGCTTCAGCGCATTCTTAAATGTTAGCAGCCAGACAGTTGTGTTTACTGTAATTAGACAAGCTGCCTGAATGCAAATGGATCATGGAGGGATATGATATGACTTAAAGTAATGCTATAAAGCTTATACTAAGATTTACATTTTTAAAAAGTGCATAAAGTAACCTAATCTGCTTCCTCCTGTCTCTACAGTAGAATTTTGAGGTCATATACAAGCTGTGATAGTCGATATCCACCAGTTTATCTTAGTAGCAGTGGAGCTTTTCTTTGGTTCACATGATTTCCTCTCTTCATACATTAGGTTTCTTGAATGGTTTGTGCACTTAAATTGCAAGTACCACAACCTAAATCAACGAAAAATAATTAAAAGACAGAATGAACAAAGCAAAAAATTAATCTGACTGATTAAATTAATTTTTTTTTTTTTTTTTTTTTTTTTTTTTTTTTTTTTTTTGCAATATTCACAGGGCAGCATGGTGGCGCAACTGGTAGAGCTGCTGCCTCTCAGCGAGCAGGTCCTTGGTTCAAACCCCGGTCCAGGGGCCTTTCTGGGTGGAGTTTGCATGTTCTCTCCGTGCATGCGTGGGTTTTCTCCGGGTACTCCGGTTTCCTCCCACAGACCAAAAACATGCATGTTAGGCTGATTGGTAACTCTAAATTGTCCCTAGGTGTGAGTGAGAGAGTGAATGGTTGTTTGTCTCGTTTGTCTCTATGTGGCCCTGTGATGGACTTGAGACCCGTCCAGGGTGTACCCCGCCCCTCGCACAGTGATTGCTGGACATGGGCACCAGTGACCCCCGTGACCCAAAATGGAATAAACGGGTAAAGAAAATGGATGGATGGATGGATGCAATATTCACTGATATGATTTTGATTGGCCCTCTGTGATGTCCTCATTAGGTTTGATGGCGGTCAGAATGCTTTAAATGTCATGCAACGCTTCAGTTATGACAAAACTGAAGGTCTTGCTTTATTGCTGATAAACTTGTTTTAAAAAATAATCTTAGTTCAGAAACCGTTTCATCCATGGGATGTTTCTGCTTGACATTTCATTTCTAATATATTGTTAAAAATCAACATATTGGGACTTCTTGCCTCCTTAATTTGTATTTATTAAATTTTTTGCCATGACAGTTAAGACTCTAAAAATGTCCTATTTTGACAGCTCTTGGAGCCATTCCTCAAGCATTGTTTAAGGTTAGAAGGACACAAATGTATTTTTTATTTTAGGTTTGTTAGCAAAGAAACAACAAAAAAAGCAAAATTATGAATTGTGTGCATATTTTTTTCATTTAAATAATGAGTTTTTTTTTTTTTTTTTTAAGTCTAGAAGCTGGTTTAACTGCTATAACATTTACTGCTAACATCCTCATCTTATCGTTCTTTGCTTATGTCAGCAGAGTCATTGGATGTTGGTCAGAAAGCATAAACTGTCTTACCAAAGAATGTTACTGTGGTCATCACAGTTTTAACCTCACATTTTAAGAAACTTACTTCAGACAGAAAATTATCATTTGATTTTAGTTTGAAACGCAGCAGCAAGCCTTCTCAGATACCTACGTATGCTTCTAATTCTGTAAACTAGAATAAGGAGTCTTTTCAAATAGAAGTGAACTTATTCTTGAGTCATTTTATTTAAAAAAAAAAAAGCCTAAAATTTTAAATTCTTAAGTCTGAACAGTTACCTGGAAAGGCTGAGCACTGTGGAGGTACAGAGTCTTCCTGTGCCAAAGGTTCCCCTGGTTTCCATATTTTGCCCAGAGGAGGGGACCTCTGCCTGTAGCTGAGGTCCTCAGATACACAGCCAGGCTGAACACATGCGACCCAAACATGCAGTAATGGAAGCGGAAAACACAGTGGTTGTGGTGGGACAAGGCTGGGTCCTTTCCAGGCTGGTAGGTGGGTTTAAAGATTGGGCTCAACAGCACAGCTGTGTCTTTAAACTCCTGTGGAGATGAGGACTCGATGTAAAGGTAGTGGCCGTACCTGGTGCCCAATGTGTGGTCCTTCCAAGGGCCTGTGTTTAGGGTTGGAGTTGGGCCACTAATGCGAGTCCAGTCAAACTCATCTCCTTTTGTTTCTTGTTTCCAGTTGCACAGCCCGTCTTCAAAGTCACACTGAAGTTCTGGAGCTGTGAGAAACAATGAGACGCTTAAGCTCAAAAATAGAAAGCAGCTAGACAGCTGGATTAAATTAAATGTGTGGTTTAAAAAGTTGCCCATTGGGACAGGGAACTCACAGCATCCTTCTTCATCCGATCCATCTCCACAGTCGTCCACAAGGTCACAGAGCTGCAGATGATCTACGCACACTTTGGTGCGCACGCAGTGGAAATGTGTGTCCGTGGGACACACCGCCACTGCCGGCAGCATTGCGCAATTCCTGAAGGAAACATCATCGAAAGCGGAAATGCCATCAAACACGCCGAGGCTGATTTTAGCCAAAGCAATCTGGAAGGGTTGAGTGATGCGACCCAGCTGAACGGTGACCTGATTCCAGCGCCTTCCTTGGTCGTACAGCGTCGTCCATATGACCGTGTTGTTTTGAACTTCGTTAAAACGAAGGTACATGTCGGCAGCCCCTATAGATATGCCTGAGTTATAATGCCTGAGGGTGACAGAAAGATGGAGGCAGAAATTGCACTGGCAGAAATATTCAGTCATGGAAAGAGATGAATTCTTGGATAATGCACCTTTGAAAGCATTCATTTGCTCCCCAAATCAAAAATACTGTATAATTTATTATCCATCAGAAATATCAGTCTATAAATTTCTCACAGTTACTCAGAGGAAAAATGTGTGTTCATATATAGTGTTGGTGCTATAAAACTGTCCAAGCATGATAAACTCAAATGCATATCTTATCTCTGTATGTCTCTGAGAAATAAGGCACATGAATGCTGACAGCAGGTGAAATAATGAGTGAAGCAAAGACAAACAAGGGTCTACAATGAATCTATGAACTGAATAATGCTGTGAAGAATCCTGGTGAACGACGCTGAAGTTTTGCATGAAAAAGGACGAAAGGGACTGTTTCTCACCAGAAGGTCATGGTGCACCCAGAGGCTGACTGCTGGAACCAGGGCCCTCGGAGGATAGCGTTTGGATACAAACTGCTGCTGTTCTTCAGTATAAACATGAAACGACCTACGGTCAAAGAATTCAGACTCAATATTAAAACCTCAGAGAGCGCCTGCTGCATTTTCTGAGGTCATTTGTTTGACGACTCAATTGCTGAATCATTTATAGTTAATAAAAACAGATGCCCAAGGCAGTTATTGGAGCATACAGCGGAAAGGTTCGTCAACAACTTCTGTCTTCCCACACTGGAGTTTCTGCCACACAGATGGATTTTATCTAGCTCGGCCTTTGGGATTTTGTCCACTGGTTATTCTATCCATTAAAGTTGCCATGGCAACAATGTGTCATTAGCCATTAAACTGCAAGGTTTATAGAAAGCAAGCCTTTGAAACAGCGCTTCATGTTTGTCTCGTGTCCATTACCTGGTTTGGAGAGAATAAACTGAGCAATGTGGGGGCATCGGCATTAGTTGGGGTAAAGTAAAACACATGAATGTAATAAACTGCACATGCAAGCAGACGCCAATAAAACTGATGGTTGTATCCAAAATTTGAAATACTCTTTTTAACAATGTTGTTTTATTATTTTATATTAAGGAGTAAAAGCAGAATCAGCTGACCGAAGTGATTTGTTCATGTTTTTGGTTTTTTAACGTTGTTTCTGGGATTCATGCTTTTTGTCATCTTGTCTTTGTTTTGATCTGTGGGATTATCATAGGTTTGGTTGTGCATTTTATTAATGTGTTTTATGGTTCTTTAACTCACTTATTTTAGTTATGCTTTTCTGCTCTCTCCTAACAACTGGTTCTCGTTTATTAATCCTCATGCTTGTCACTTGTGCGGCTTCAGCTCCTTTAGCACTCCTTTGTTTCCTTTTGTTCATTGTCAGATCTTTGTGTTTATCACTTTGCTCTTTATCATTTTTATCTTTAGTCCAATATGTTCATGTTCAGTCTCTGTTATTTAGTTTTTATGTTTTGGATATCTTCCATCTGCAGATCCTTTAGTTTATAGAACACAGCTTAGTATATAGTTTACAATATAATACAGTAAACTGGATAAGTTACCATCCTACCTTTTGCATAATTTTTTCAAAATAAATGTTTTCATCTGTTCAAGGCCCTTAACCCCCACCATCTGCTCCTCCAGGTGCCCTAGATAGCAGCTCTCTGCTCCACACAGACGGCTGTGGTAGCTCGGTGGTGTGTGGTTGCATCAGGAAGGACGTCCGGTCGCTGTCAGGTAGATGGTGCATGCGGTCGGCCCGACAGAGATTCTGTCGGGCTATCTCTGTGTGCCTGTTGGTTGCTCAGGTTGGGTTTTTGGTGGTCCCCCCTCTCTTGGATCAATTTGGGCCCCACATTTGGTGTGGGGCCCACTCCCCCCGGTCGTGCCCCCCTTTGGCAGGGGACCCCCTTGCCGCCGGTGCATTGGTGGATCTCGGCGTCTGGGCTGGGTGGTGGGGTGCACGTCGGTCCGCCCTGGTTGCTGCCTGGCAGGGCCTGGGTGCCCTGGCTCTGTCGGGGCTCTGCTGGGGGGTGGTATGGCCTCGGGGCTTGGGGCTCGGTGTCCATGGCCGGATCTACTTGGGGGGGGCATGGGTTGCCGGCCGGACCTGTGGGCTCGTCGCTGCAGCTTCCTGGAGGCTCTGCATTGTGGTGGCTGGGGTCACCCGGTTCTTTCCTCTGCTCCTCTCTGGGGGGGTGCGGTTCTCCCTGTTGGGAGACTCCTGGGGCTTGTGGGCCGCTGTGTGTCTGTGGCTCCGGTCCTCCCTATGTTGCCATTGTGTCCTGGGGGGGCGGGTCTGTGGGCCCCCGCGTCCACTATTGGGCATTCTTTTGGAGAAAGCTGGTGGTGGCGGGCGTGCTTGTGCGGGTGTTTGGATTCAGGTGCTTTGACAGATGCACGCTAGGTTGGGTAGTGGTGGAAGCTAGATGATTCCTTGTGCGATGTCGAATGTTTCATGGTGATATTGTAGGTGGCATTGTGCTGTGCATGTTGTTTTGTCGTGGTGGTCTCTCGTTTTATCTATTTCTCTTTTATTTATTTATTTATTTATTTTTCTTTCTTCTCTTTCTTTAACAAAAAAAACAAACAAAAAATTGAGCGATGATGATAAGTTTATTGAAACACTTCACAATGTTTCTACACTTAAACTGAGCTCAAAAAGAAAAAAAAAAAAAAAAAAGGAAGGGCGTCCGGTGTAAAAACAGTTGCCAAGCTGTTTATGTTCATATTCAAAATCCATGCTGCTGATCTCATGCTGCTGTCATTCATACCCATCTGCTCACCACAGACTCATGTTCAGGCTGCTGTTGATACGCCATATTGTTTTACATTATTATTGTTTAGCGTATATCTTAGCTCTTTTAACGTACCGTTTGGTGTTCATTTGGCGAATATCTTAGTCTACATCTTAGATCCTTAAATACCGTTTCTTTTTACATGTTATATTTGTGCTATTATTGAGTGTATCTGGGACCCTGTGTACAAAATTTCATTCCACCTCATGTACCACATGTGATGAGAATGACAATAAACTTGACATGAAGTTTTTGTGCGAGTTAGTTCACTGTGGCGACCTTGAAGAAGGGAGCAGCCGAAAGAAGAACTGTTCTAAAACACATCACCACTGTCCCCCTAAGTATTCTGGAAAGCTGCTCACATACAAAACAAATGCAGCATGCTGCATATAATAAAAACATAAACATGAACAGAGTTGGAGGAGGAGGATGCGCTGTGGCGACCCCTGATTAGGGACAAGAAGAAAAAGATAAACAGTATGTTCAAGTTGAAAACTGTTGTGGTGAGAAACATGTGAGCTCATTAAAATCATAGAAAAGCATGAGCAGGCAGAAAGAACATGCAGCAGTGGACTAAGTAAATGTCATATTTGTTGCTATAGAAAAATATGTCTGCTGAGTTTTTATGCAATGAACAATTAATAAAAATGAATTCTGATTAATCACCAATATTTTTGTTTAAAACTATGTAGAATACCACATTAATGGAAAAGATAATTGTGTTTTGTTCTGTCAATAAAACAAACAAACAAAAAAAGCATTAGCCAGGCAAAAAAGAAATTTTGAGCCACATACCTATATTTTACTGCTGCCATTGCACAAAAAAAATCTGCTTGTGAGGGGTTTCTGCAGCCTCTAAATTCAAACCCAAAAGGGTTCTGCACTACACCAAGTTGTTCACACAACACTGATAAGAAAAACAACAGATGGGGCTTGCATGGAGCCAGGCAGCAACAGGACTTTTGTTAAATCTGTGCCTTAAAAAGAAATGTATTCTGGCAAACTATATGTTTACATAGCCCTAATATACTGTATTGATTGATTGGTATTTTGCACATTAGGTTTAGTTTGTATGTTTTCTGCCTGTTAGTCAAATGACATTAAAGTACCTATCATTCAAAAAACACTACAATCATTTTTCTTTATAAAACTGTTATTTAATCTGTAAGGAAGTTCACATTTTATTAATGACTTAAAAGCATTAAAACCTTTCTGATTTTTATTAAAGTGACTGATAAGGCAGTATTTCTGGCATTTGTTCCCAACCTTGGGTGCTGTTAGTAGAGTGGTCTGGTAGAGGAGGGTGATCGTAGTAGTCTGGAGGCACCTCCATGGATGATCCTCTAGTCCAGTCAAAGCCGTCGCCAGGGGTGAGCTCATACCAGCCGCATAAACCACTCTCAAAGTCACATTCAGAGGCTGAAACAGTAAAAGGGAGATAGAAACAAAGTAAGCAAACACTTTCTGAAAGTTATTTGAATAAGACTATTAGCAAGAAAATTTTACTGCACTTTGAATGATTATGTGGCAAATTATGACAGCACGATGGCTCAGTGGTTAGCACCGTTGTCTCACAGCAAGTCTTGGGTTCAATCCCCAGTTGGACCTGGGGTCTATCTGTGTGGAGTTTGCATGTTCTTCTTGTGCTTGCGTGGGTTTTCTCCGGGTACTCCGGTTTCCTCCCACAGACCTAAAACATGCATGTTAGACTGCCTTCAGGCCTCCCTTGCAAAAGAGATCTGTGATCTCAGTGGGATTTGCTGGTTAAATAAGGGTTAATAAATAAATTATCAGCTATGTATTGTTTCATTGACCACTTGGTGGATTTTAATTAAACTTTCAGGAAACAATCATTAGTTGTACACCCATATCTAATTAACTTTCCAACACAAGATGACCACTACAGCTAACTGACCTTGAAAAAACTAAAAATGTCTATACCTCGGTCAGTTTTACAGCTAACATTGTGCAAGATCTTTGCCTAAAACTTTATCATTAACTGCTTGTGTCAACCATGTTTGCCCACTGGGCAGGCTACTTGTTGAAAGGTAATCACTAGATGCAACATAAGATGGCTGCCACAGCTATTTTACATTAGCAAACAGAAAAATGACTATAACTAAGTTAGTTTAACAAATATTGAGGTAAAATTTGGTACATATAGCTGAGACTCATTCACAACACATCCTTTGAGTGTGACATTCTCCCATTTTTGCATGAGATTGCGCATAACTATATTTGAAAGGTTTTTAAGGCAACAACTTCATTACTATCATAATATCCCTAAAACAAATCACTATTTTTGGGTGTGTTTAACGAAAGAGTCACATGAATCTTGAACAGATCTCAGGCTTGCCCAGAAATAAATCAAAGTGCTCTTACGGCAGTTGGCTTCGTCATCTCCACTGGAACAATGTGGGGTGAAGTCACACACTTTGCTTTCCTCGACACACTCCCCTTCACCACAGTGAAACCACGAGGGAGGGCAGGGAGGTGGAGGGGGAGCGCCGCTCTCTGCCAACACACACACATTCACAACAAGACATTAATACAACTGATGGAACTGCAGCATTCAGGCGTAAGAAGTTCTTACAGCTGAAGATCTTTAATCAGAGTTATAGTTGTTCAAATAGATGTCTGTCAAGTAATTTTAATTATTTAAATAAGCTCTTAGGAACTCAGGATAGATTAGATGAGCTCAACTGTGTCCAGAGAACTTTTGTGGTGTTTTGGAAACTGTGCAGTAATATAAGTTATGAGACTCTGATCAATAATGAGACTAAGACTTTATTTCTTATACTGACTTCTCTCCAGTTATGAAAAGTATTAGAGTACTAAATCAAAATAACCCAGTTTCAGCAATATTCTGAAAGTATTTCTTTAAAACATTGTTTTTAGTGTCTGTTGGAGCTATCGTGTGAAGTGAGCATGAAGTGCTAAATGAAAGGCATATTTTTTTTATTCAAACTGTTCAGCTCTTACAGAAAAAAACCTCATGGCTACAAATTGTGATTGCATAAAATCAATTCGATGACAAGTAGCAATATTCCACATAAAAAAGAAAATTCTTCCACAAATGCACAAAACACTAACATAATTAACACTTTTTGGGTTTCAACCTGGCGGTTGGTGTTGAAACACCAAATGAAGGGTCTTTAAAGGCTCTTCAGAAATAAAATTAACACTAAAATATGTTTGAATGTCACATTTATGTCATAGTATGTCATTATGTCACTTTCAGTGTAATGTGTATTGTTTGCACGCATCATGATCAAGACCTCTCCTGTGGGAACGTTCTGCAATGTCCTCTGCTCATGTTGTGATGTGTGATATTAACGGTCCCATGTAATCACTCCTACTGTGACAAATCGGTGAGGAACAGAAAGAACTGGTACATTGATATGATAAAGTTGATATGATATGGTGACATGGAGTCCTTGACTCAGATTCACTCCTTCGTGCCTGCAGCGGACCCTTGGATGATGGCTCAGACATGGAGGGGGAGGGGCTGAGGGCTGGACAGGAACATTATTCTATAACACTAACTTGTACGGTCCAAAGAGCAGGTCCGGGTTTCACATGGATGAGAACACTGTCTTGTATTTTGCATGTTCTGTGAATTACTGCACTGCTCTCCAAAGCTTTGTGAATAAATCTGATGAACTACACCTTGGTCTGTTTGGGAATCTCCTTTTTTTCCCCTTGACAGTCACATTATGTCAATGTCATTGTCATATATAACAGTTGTTAAGCTCTTTTTTGTTGTCACTTTGGTGTTTCATCAATGTTTTCTTTTTTTCTCTATTTGTTTTTCAAGTTTGCCACATTGCATTTATTTTATCAGAATTGGAATCAGAATAAGCTTTATTATCATTGCACCAAGATACAACGAGAGTATGTTCGTACAGTCGTCCGAAAGATGGGCGGAGCGCACGTAGCTGCTGCTGTAAAGCGCAACCTTCTTATCCTTTTCAGAATACATTTTTTAGGTAGAAAAAGCCATGAGGAAAGAATAGTGGCATTACAAAAAAGATGCCTTCACACTTCATCCTAACAGGACACAAGTTAAGACATCATAAAACTCTTCCAAGCAAGCACATTTATGAACACGTTACATATGCATTTACTACGAGGCGGTCCATGAAGCACTAACAGATAGTCCATTGTCCTGATAAGATGATGGTCAGCGGGTACAGTTCTGATAAGCCTCCACAGAAAAGGGGGAGGGAGGTTGCGATAGACAAAGCTTTTCCTTAGTTTACACATTTCCCAGGAGAAATTGATATGTCGGCCTGTTTCAAGGCCAACCGGGGGAGTCAGATTCAGATAATCCACAAGTGTTGATTTATTCAGGCAGACTATTTTTTCCTTGTCAGCCTTTGAGTCCGTACTGATACTTCCAAAGTCCAAAATGGCCAGATTAGGGTGCATTCTACTGGTCTGTGCTTACGAGCCTCTTCAAGGTTGTTTTCATGCTGATGAATCCCAAAGCCGCATGTGGCCTGCAATTCCAATCATTTCCAACTTGCGGTTTTGCTTGTAAATCAGCTGATTTTGAGTCCTCAAAGCACGAACCAAACCTTTGCATAGGCAGCAGCGTGATGAGGTCCAAATTAGCTGTGGCCATTTTCTTTGTTTGTTGATAAACCAGGATCCAGACTATTCCAAAATCAGGAAACCTGTTATCATAACTCCAATTGTATGCAATCGCGGCATCCTCGATCGACAGCAGAGGTAGACACATCACCCCCAGAGATATATCCAGCTGCATGAGTGTCGTCCGAGCAGATGAGGTTTCTCCAGGACCCCGTTGTTTTGTTGAAAAGATTTTATCATTTGCGTCAAAAGTCCAGTTGGTCAGATCCCAAACAGTAGTTTTCATTTCGGAAGATGTGTAAAAATAGGAGCTGCTCCGATACACAGACAGAGAGCAAAAAAGCAGGAGGAGAACAGGGAGCGGGAAGAAACACATGCGTCTCGTTAGAGAGCCAGTAAGAAAATAAAAGATAGCCACCAAAAGATGAAGTTTGAATTAAGTGTTTAAAGATGTTTGTTTTGAGCTTCATCTCTCCCTGCAAGTACAGTATATCTCTAAGAATGCTCCTTCTAAAAAAATGGACACTATTGGTCTTTTTTCACACTTTAAATCATGTGACCAAAATATCTCACATGTTAAACTGTCAGGTAAACAACACACAAGGCTGATAGCTGAGTCTGTGACACATTTAACATTAAAAGCAAGTAAGATCACTGTACTTGTGTTTAGTTTCACAGTGCTTGTCCTTGTTTATATGGTTCCTAATGCTTTTTTTATTAAAATTGTGTATAGTGTGTTTTAAAAATGTTGAGTTATGCTGTTTGTTTCATGTCTTCTGCATTTATTATATCAGGTCGCCATTATAAATGAGATATGGTTATCAATTGACCTGGAAAAATGCAGGTTAAAATAAAGATTATTATGGCCTGACTGACAAAACAACTCAACAAATTATTGAATATTGAGTCAGTTCTGTCTCCGTTTGTTACTCTAACAACCCAAATGCCACATTTGAGGTTTCAAAATGGTAATCCAGTAATTAGTGGGTGGCATTACAGAGGTCAAGTTAATTTTATATATAATGTTTTTTGAGGTCTATGGCCAACATGAAGTCTCGGGTGCTGAGAGAATATTTATTCATAAACATGACTTACACCAAATAATGGCACCAAATGAAAATGAATTTATTGTCATCATTTTCTATTAATTCTAAGCACAAATTGACTCATTTGTATGGCAGTCTGTATTAAATATCTGCTCTGAACAGCAAATATTATCCTTATAATTTGGCCCAAAAGTTAAAGAAACAAGCAACATATTTGGGTCAGATGGTCTGATTTCTTGATTTCTATTCATTTTTTTTGAGTCACTTGAACAAATAAAGCTATAATTAAAAAAAATGCTACCAATGGTAAGACTTTGGGTGTTTTCGCTTCAATTCCTTACATTTAATTAGTGGCATTAGCTCTGCCACTAGCAAAAAAAGCATTTAAAGCCAACTGAAAGTCAAAAGTTGTAGTCAATTTTTTTTTACTGTTCAGTTTATGTGCAGACACCAAGAATGTCATCTCATATTGAATGACTGATAACCGCTGTAAAGATGCCACAGATGGAGGTTAAAGCTGTAAGCATGTGTTAAAACTCTGCTCAAAATGCAAATAGACCACGCTTTATCAAATTCGCTGAACAAGACACAGACACAAACAAATGCATACACCCTAAAATAAACTGGTGTATATTTAGTGCAAGAAAACGTACAGTAAACACCTTTTTAACAAGACAGGTGTTCTGTTATAAATGTCATTCTGAGTGGTATATTGTCTTGCCTCACATTCATCAACATTCAAAACACGTTTTTGGTCTGTTTATGTGTTGTGGTATTTCAAAATGTCATGGTCTGAACTTGTCTTGTGTATGTGATGAGACATTAAAAAAGGTACTGGTACCAGGTAAAACTAGGCAGCCAGGACCAAAGGACAAATCATCAATGGTCAAGACCTCAGAGGTTTCACTGTTGGCTGAAAGTTCCCCTCGAATTACCACCTGGTAGACACAGACAAAAGACAAGTTAGAAAAAAAAAATGCATCATTCACAGCTTTTAACAATATTATTTCTTAGCAAAGACAAAAGAACAGGATTGTTGTGGTCAGATAGTATGTTATCAAGATAATATTATTTGGTTAAACCCTGATAAAAGTATATATATATATATATATATATATATATATATATATACATATATAGGGCAAATTGTCTTCATGGAAACATGTTTCACCATCTTCCAATAAGCTTCATACAGCCTTCATTGCTTGGGCTGTAATAAAAATGTGCTGATCAAAGTCCATGAAACAGCTTTATCTAGACCAGCACTGCAGTTTTACAACCTATTTATGACTGATCTAAACAATGTCTAACTGTCGTATTTCCCCTAAATACGTTATTTCATACAGATTTTCTGAATGATTTCATTACTGTACTAACTAATGTAGACAAAATGGTGAGAAACATAACTTAAAAGCTTTTTTTTTAATGTTTGCCATATTTTCATTACCTTCTAAATAATTGGAGAACATATAAACTAGTTATATGGCAATATTCTTCCATTTGAACAGGGATGGCTAAAGGAATTTCTTTTTTTGAACATAATGAAAAGTAAATTTGCAGCTGATCAGGTATGTTGTCTGAAAGTGAAATAAAGCTAAACTGTGCTGAGTAAAAAGACGATCTCCGACGCCTGACGTAAAATGATGACACAGAAAGTGAATGTCAGAAGGATTGACCTCTTGTTATCAGCAGCAGCAAAGCAGATGGTAAAAGTAGAAGGTGACAGTGAGATACCCTGAAACTATCTAAAGGACACTAACAGCAGGTTTCAAAGGAATCCAGATGGCCCCTTAATGTTCTGATTGGGTCAAAACCTTCCCTCTGCATGTCTCATATCTGCTGTGATGGTGTTATTTCTTTTAAAAAATCTATAATCAATCTTTTTTTTAGTTCCTGTTTTATCATATTATACATCCATATAAAACTAAAGTAATGACTTATTACCGACCTGAAAACTGTAATTGCTGGAGAAGTTAATTATGGTCCGCAGCCATGCTCCTGCCTGCAGCTGTGTGGAGCTTTTCCAGACTACAGTGGTCTGACCTGCTGGATGAGGCTGAAGCAGAACCTGAATACCTCCATGTGTTGCCCCAACATATTGGTAGAAACTCATCTGATGAACAAGAACAACATCATGTTTGTGGCGACATTACGTTAGTTTGTGCCACACATCAAAGTGTGCCGTTACCTGACAAGTATAACTGGGCAGGAAGATTGGACTGCACAGTTCTGCAGTGGTTCTGTTTCCTCCGACAGGAAATAGAGACAGAAAATGTGCTGAGAAGAAGAAGGAAAATACATAAATACAACATCATAAAACATGTAGTCTGTGTGGGAAAATGTCAACGCAGTTCCAACCTGAGGTGTTGGTGTGGTCGTGTCTGAGTCCTGCAGCCTCAGTTGCTCTGACCCATTCAGAGAGAGTGTCAGAACTTTGGGTGAGGTTGCAGAATCCATCCTCAAAATCACATCTCATATATGCAGAGCCTGCAACATATTTCACATATTTAATATTGTTTGATCTAGAGGGAGTGGTGGTGCAGAGGTTAGATGAGGGGAAGCTCCCCAGACAGACATCAAAATGTGGGTGGGAAAGGTGAAGCACCCACACCTGCCTCCACCCTCATTTGCCCTTCTCTGTGCCCTTAAGCAAAGCCCTTAACCCCCACCATCTGCTCCCCCGGGCGCCTTACATGGCAGCTCTCTGCTCCACACAGAGGGCTGTGGTAGCTCGTTGGTCTGTGGTTGCATCAGGAAGGACATTCGGTGTCAAAACAATTGCCAAGTCTTCATGTGAGTTGCTTCGTTCAAGAAGGGAGCAGCCGAAAGACGAAGAGAAAAGCTGCTTTGATGGTACTTTGTCATATTATCTTGATTCTGGGTGAAATATTGGTGTGCATACTTTGCCTGCACTGAACTACACACTCACACACATTTCCTGCAATCTGTGTTCATGTGAGAGTGAAAAATGAGTACAGTGCCTTAAACTGTGCCTTATTGCTAAGATTAGGAATGAGATTATCAGAGGTACAGCACAGGTTAAACAACTGGGAGATAAAGTTAGAGAGACCAGACTGAGATGGTTTGGACATGTCCAGAGGAGGGACAGTGGGTATATTGGTAGAAGGATGTTAGAAATGCAGCTGCCAGGAAAAAAGACAAAGAGGAGATATATGGATGCATTTAAAAAGTGGCTGATGTATTATTCAGTATTTAGTTGTAAAATCAAAAGAGAGAATGATTGTTGGCATTTCAGGTTTTAGATCATGGAAAGTGTCTTGTGATAAACTGGTAGCCTGCCCAGGACGTACTCCACCTCTCTCCTGAAAGACCCCAGACCTGTGTGACCCTGAACACTATCAAACCCATACAGAAACTGTATGACTGGGTGGAGATCCCAACAATAGGGTATGACTTGACAAATTAGGAGCAAAACAGAGTCAAAGGCAAATATGTCACTGATCTGCTAAAACCTACAGAGGCAACATTTTTTTCTTTCCATTTTAATTTTTTGCTGTATGTTTATTAGACAATATGTCTGATATGTAATAACTGTGGCATTGTGGCATGTAACTGGGACCCTGTGTACATAATCTCATTTCACTGCATGCACATGTGGTGCGAATGACAAATAAAGAAACTCTGACTCTGAACTGCATATTTAAAGGGAAGAATAGCACTGGGTAGATAAATATCATTCTGTGCGCCCACTGAACATGGAGCAGAGAAAGCAAAGAGCTGTCTGAAGAGCTCAGAAAGTAGATTACAGATATCCATGTTAAAGGTAACTTTGTCTCCACGCAGTTTTGTGTTCCTCTAAGCACAGCTATGAATAATTTTAAAACATATAAGCTTCATGAGACTGAAGCCAACCTCCCAGGACAGGGACCAGGAAGGGCACCAACAAACCTATCTGCATATATATATATCCTAAAATATATATTTTTAAAACTCTCAAGCAGTTTTAGGTTTCAGAGGTACTTTGGACACTAGAGTTTCAAGGACCACTCCATTTGATGACAACTTAAAAAAAGAGCAAAGAGAAACTAATCTCCTCCTAAACTTTGCCTTAAACTAAAACAAACAAAATAAAATAACACAATACATTCATTTTTTTATTTTATTTTATGCAAAAGGATCACTTGAAGAATATGCAAACCTTTTATTAAAGACACTTTTCTAACTATAAAATGTGAACCATTTCATTCCGAGAAAGTTGTACTTCTATTGTATCGTTACTGCATTATATACTGCATGAACAACGACTCTAAATGTAATATAAATAATCATGTTTATATCATTCTGGTGCTTTCAAACCAATAGGTTTTTATCATTTCGCCTGAGAGATATTTAAAGCAGTAAATAAACAGTACTGTAACTCATTAACACAACTTTGTGCTCAACAAAGTCACATTTTTAACCTGCTGAGCAGCAGCCACATGTAAAGTTTGTCAGATTCTGACTGAACTTACAGTTTTCTTCGTCGCTGCCGTCTCCACAGTCGTCAGTGAAGTCACACACAGAGTCCTGACCCACACACAAACCTGTGTGACTGCAGGTGAACTCCTGATCTGAACAGGCGGTGATGAATACCGGGTTAACCCCCACAGAGAGGGTCGACAGCAGCCACACTAACCAGTACGCCATCAGATTGTTCTTTTATCTAGAACACAATTCTTTTCAAATCCAAATTAAACATTTTGCTTTCCAGACGGAAGTAGTGCAATGGTGATTTCTCCACGATGGGGAGTGCTCATAGATATGACTGATCCTGTTCATGCGGACAAGTTGTTGGCATGTTGTAAACACCAATAAATGGCTTTTACAGCTGTTGCTCAATAAGCTCACTTTGCTTTTATTATATGATTTAGTCTCTAACATAAAGCTATGTAACAACAAGAAAAAAAACAATAAACTGTAAAATTCTTTATAAATAACTGTTTTTTCCTTGATATGTATACGATTTTAAAAATGTTTTAAAAAGTACAAGTTTCATTATTTTTAGGTAACGTTCTAATTTTCTCAATTTAAGGAATAAAAAAATCTAACCATCTTATATTGTGAGCTTTTAATGAGCCTAAAACAGGAGAAAACCTGGATGCAGAGGTACAAAAAATACTTTTCTGTTTGCATATCTCACCAGTTAACCTGTTGCATTATCTTTTTTTATTGACATCAAAAATTTAGAATATAAATAAATATTGAACTATTTTTTAAAACCATTAAGCTTTTGTGATCAAATAGCTGTTTGATAAAAAAAAACTTTTTTTAATGGACATATGAGATGCTTTTTTTTCTTATTTTGACTCAAGTTTTAATATGTTTTTACCTACTTATATACTATAGCTTATTCACTGGGAGTCATTAATATAAATTATTATTTCTATTAATTCTTAATAGATTAATACAATGTTTAAAGTTCACTAGAAAGTTCCTGGAGAAACTTTGATGGGGACTGCCAGGCTCCTGCTATTTAAAAAAAAAATTGATGGGGTTCACTCTCAGCTATCACACCAAATTTCAGCTCAATATATTTTTTTAAATAAATGAGTTATTATAATACTTTGTTTGTTTTATTTAAACTAATGTGACCATCTTGAATTTTTTATTTGGATTCAGTATGTAATGGGGAACGTTTTCAGCTATAACCTCACCAAATTTCTGCTCTATATGTATAAAAATACAGTAGCTGAGTTAAAGTCATTTTGCAGGCATATTGCATTTTTAGATTTGAATCCAGTATAATTTCAGAAATGCTCTAAAAATGTCTGATTTCTAGCATTTTTCCTTTTTACCTGAGGCGTCCATCTTCGGAGCTAGCAATACACCAAATTTCAGCTGAATAAATTTAAAAATGGCTGTGTTATCATATTTTTTTTTTCCTTTTAGCTAAGGCAGCCATCTTGGATGTTGGATTTGGATCAGGAATGTATAACAACTCGCTCTCAGCTACGACCATACCAAATTTCCGCTCAATATCTAAAAGAGTGACTGAGTTTTAGTCAAATTTGTGTTTGCTAAGGTAGCTGTGGTAGCCATCTTGAATGAAAATGGCTCCAAACATTAAGCAGTTCTAGAGTAACATCTGATGATTACTTTCTGAGTTTCAAACATATCCAGCAAGCTATTCATGAAATATGTTGCTAACAGACAGTCTAGCTTTACATGGTATTTCTAAATATCGAATGTTGAATCCATTTCTCACATAACCCCTCAAAGGTGCAGCAGTGATTTGGGATCGATCACTTTGCTGCCGATGCAAAACAAGCACACCGAAGACCTTATTTTAGGATACCTCCTAAATACATGGTCCGCTGAGAAATGAATGCATTCAGTAAAAGGCACTAATGCGCATTTACAAATTATTAATTCAAGATAATTAAAATAGTCTAAATATTTAAAACGTACAGAAAACATATTTTGTGTGTTGTCTAGTTTTATTTAAATACATTTTGTTGGCTAAAAACCTGTGTTAAACTAAACCCATATCCAGCCAAAGTAGATGTGTTTATCCATTTAACGACCAAAGACAGCAGACTACGGGTATGTTTAAAAAGTAGGTTTGTCTGTGCAGTCCACCCTGCAGAGGTTTGTTTTAGGCTTACTAATGTGGACCCCAACCCATAATCCTTTTGTAGACACACCTGAAGTGGAAAGTATAAAAAACCCTGGACTGAACAGAGCCAGACATTAAGCTTCAAGGAGTCCCTCCACAGCTTCTCTCTACAGAAACTCCTCTGCCTCCATACTGACCCTGAAGATGGCTCCCTCTGCCAGCCTGCTGCTGCTGCTCCTGCTCAGCCTCCCTCAGGCTCTTCCTGTCCAGACAGAAGGACAGAAACATGGCGACTATGCTGTAGACCATCATGAGCATAAACATTTGGCCATTGATGAATACCATGATGGGAATAAAGATTTGGCCGATGATGGAGCCCATCATGAGGATAAAGATTGGGCTGATGATGAAGACCATGATGGAGACCAACAAGATGTGGTGGAGGATGAAGAAAAAGATATGGACCATGAAGGATATGATGACACAGAACACGTGGACATTTCCACAAGGATTCTGACTGCTAACAATGGCTCAGACGAAGAGCTGCTGGAAGGAGACATGATGATTCCCAAATCCAGAAATGCCATGAAGTGCTTATACAATACCTGCTGGTGGAAAAAATCCTCCAATGGCTTGGTGATGGTCCCTTATGTCATAGGCAATGAGTATACCAGCTACGAAAGGCAGACGATTGAGTCTGCCATGATGGCCTTCGCTGGCCAGACCTGCATCCGCTTCATCCCTCGTACCAATGAGAATGACTACGTCATGATTCAGAGCAAATCCGGTTGTTACTCTGAACTGGGCAGAATAGGTGGAATGCAGGATCTTTCACTCAGCAAGACGGGTTGCATCTATAATGGAGTTGCACAGCATGAGCTGAACCACGCTCTAGGCTTCCAGCATGAGCAGACCAGGAGCGACCGTGACAGCTACGTCATCATCAACTGGCAGAACATCATACCAGACCAAGCCTACAACTTCTACAAACATGACACCAACAACCTGAACACACCCTATGACTACAGCTCCATCATGCACTATGGAAAAGATGCCTTCGCAGTCGCCTACGGATACAACACTATTACTCCCATCCCCAACCCCAACACCCCAATTGGCCAGAGGGATGGGTTGT